ACAAATTGCCAGCCTAGCTGCATGTGAATTTAGCAAGGCTAGGCAATAACCAGGATAGCTAATGGACCTTTTACACCTTCTTATACCTTGCCCAGATTTCAAAAATAATCATATTATGAGCATCACATGTCAAAGCAGAATAGGAATATCTACTGAGCCACAACCATGTGCATACTAAGCTAGCCTGGTCAGTTCTTCTAACTAAATGGCTTTTGTAAATGTAGATTTACTCTAATCACAGTCATCTTAAACTACACACAGATGAGCACTTGTGTACACACCCGCCAGGAAAGCGAGAAAGAGTGTGCACTTCAATAGCCTAAGTTTGTTCTTCAGGCAATTATTTCTAGCTTTTAATCACACATGCTTTCCCATTCAATTGGTTTAATGCACCCTTACAAACAGAAATGGCTACCAGTCATGACAACTGTATTAATACTTCCAGGATCAGAGGCAATGATAGCTTTTCATACCAGTCACTGGGGAACAGCAACATGAAAGGGTTGCCGTAGGGTTCTTTCCAATGTTTGTCTAATTTAAGTCCCACCATTTAATGATTCTATTCTAAAAAGGACTAATATCGGATACAACCCCTTGTGTCTCAGTTGATAGATTCCCGAAGTTTGGCCTCTGTGGGAAATGGGATGCTGGGGCTAGGCAGATCTTTGATCTGAGCTAGGAAGGTTCTTCTTATAAACCCACAAAAATTACTAGCTGACACAGCAGAAAAAGTACTAGTCCACCGAGCAAGCTAACACAAGATTTGTAGCATACAAGCAACTTGAAAGAAAAGAGCATTGTTCATGTTAGGAAATAGTTTCCCTGCCTGATCATTTACAGACAATACTGAAGTCACCAAACACACAGCTATTTATAACGCAGGTTTAAAGTGTCTTACTGCAAACATTATTTGCTCCAAGTTCAAACCCAGTATGTTATCACACTGCTTTTGCAGCTACAATGGTCATTTATACCAGTGGCTGAAAATGCAAGCAGATCAGTAGCAGTATGTATAGGCTCAATTAAGTGGTTATACGCACAGCCGTAGAATTCTTTCTTCCCACTGCAAAAGCACACACTCTGCTCTAAAACAGTGAATCTCCAAGGACAGAATTATCAAGTTACAAGTTGAATATGAATGAGATAAGCTGGGGAAAATTCAACATGAGATGGAACACATACTGAACAGGACTGACATTTATTAGCTGTTCGTGTAATACCTTGACAAACCTGATAAAAGGAGAGGTACAGAATACATTTAGTGTCATGTCATTGCACACATTCACTAGTCGACCCATCATACTTCACTGTGTCATCAAACCCCTGTATTCTTCCAGAGAATAAAATACACCAGCAGCTTCAGAGCTGCCGTTAGCCTGCTGCAGTCAAGTAAGCAAAGGGAAACGATCTCCTTCTAGACTTTCATGTAGGCTGGCAGCTGCTCACACCAGACACACTAAGCAAGTGGTAGCACACAGCACCTCAGGACAAACCACCATAAAATGAAAGCCATCTGCAGAACAATAAAGATGGAAACTGGCTTGCTTGGTTCACCATGCAAACAGAACCAGTGAGAAGCTGTAACAATTTGGCCAGTGAAAATGGTTTGAGGGACCAATGTACTGAGACCAATTTCTGAATGCCTTCTCATTCTGTGCTCCATAATGCTCTTCACCCTACATTTGTATAAACAGAGTACTACCAGGACAACACTGACATGCTGTCCTTCAAAGGAAACCAGGCCTCTACAAAAATGGCAAGCAAACTTCCCATTGCCAGAATAAAAAACTGCGTAAGATCTAAGCAAAAGCTGTGTTAACATGTACAGAAGAAGCACTAGCCGTAATGGTTTGGGACTAAAGAAAATGAGCTTTCCAAACAAGTTGCCTTTCAAAGACCGTTTTAGCACTCACCTGAATTCCACCCAACTGGCCAGCAAAACAATAATTTGGTGTATTAAAGAGTTCCAAAATTGCATAGACAATAGGAAAGCAACAAGTTGTAGGAGGCCATCAGATGTTTCAAGTATTTGCATTAGGAGCTTCATAAACTTTTATGATGTGTACAAGCTCAAAGGAAGAGAGAAAAGGGAACAAGTGGAAGTTGTGAAGAAAACAAGTAAAGGGAACAAGCTGAAAACATGAAGGGGGGCAGAATTTTATCAGCAGTAATTATTGCTTCTGATAAAATCAACATTCCTGTAACTTCTCTATAGAGAGTCAGTGTTAGACTGGATCTCAGGTGATCCAAGCTCTAGCCTAAACTCGAGCATGAAGATCACCCAGTGATTTTGTGAGAGCCACTGATGCTAAGCCTCATCTACCTGACAGTCTTGTTGAAAAGATAAAATGAAGAACTATGTAAACCACCCTGGGATCCATGTAGAAAAATGCAGGATATATAAAAATACATATAACCAGAGAAAGTATATCTAAGAGAATTATCTTCCCCACAGGCATATGATAGACATTTAAGAAATAAAGTGAGTAGTTTATTGTGACAAGGAATAAGAAAGATATACCAGTGTGCAACAAAGCCAACACTAGACTTATGATGGGAATTCATTTCATGTCCCAAGCAGGTTTCTCCCAACCTCAATATCATTTAAGGTCTAATCTTAAGTGAGCTGGATGAGCACACTAGGATATGAAAGCCTTTTTTCTGTCTAAAATCACATAGGATTGTACCTTGAGTCATTTGCCCAAAGACTTTTCCCGTGTCCCATTGATTATATGAAGCAAAGAGAGGACATTACAGGGAGAGGGTGACCTACCTTGCCACTTTGGGTGGCAGTCCTATGCTTAGCATTCTGCAGAAACACTAAGACTGTGATTGTCTTTGCAAATTCCATATAATCAAGTCAAAGGTAGGCATTATCCGAATTCCCTTTAAGCAGCTGGTGCAGAGAAATATACAGTATGCAATTCTGTACCACTCCAACCATTAAGAAGCGAACAACTATAACAGCCAGCCATTTTTAAAAGAAGACTCTTCTATCCTGTGTAACTTTTCAATCAATAGATGTACATATTTCAAATATTACTATATCCTTCATACAGTCCAAAGGAAAATGAAACTAAATATGAAACACTGTAAGCATCAATATGCAGAGCTGTAACTCAAAGCACAAGGTTTGCATGGAAAAATTTCTAGGCTCAATATCCAGGATCTCAAGAAAGAAAAATAATTCTGTCTGAAACCTCAGTAAAAAATTCTTCAACAGTGTAGACAATACTGAACTAGTTTGCCCAACAGTTTCACTTAGTATAAATCAACTTCCTATATTCCAATGAAGTTGACTAAACTTCACAAAAGAGCAAACAGAGGAAGGATAATCTGAATTTATACTATTCTTCAGTGACAATGGCTGTTTTAAATATTTTCTGAAACCCAAAAGATAGCAGCATGTTAAAAATCAGTTTTAGTTGTGCTTCCCTACACACAATCTTCCAGATTTACCTTTGTTCTCATACCCCTGGAGGTAGAACATTGTGGGTAGGAGGGAAGCCTAGGGGATATGCTGGGCTCACACAGTGAATATGGAACTGAGGTCTTCCAACCACTGAAGTGAGTGCAGAAACTGACTTGTAATGAGTAATCCTATTGATTTGCCTTTGATGCCCTCAAAGTCAGAAGTTTACGAGCATCCAATGCAAAGTGTGAGGATAACAGAGGCAA